AGAGACATCAATTCTTCCTCGGTCTCTGTTATTCAGTGTCCAACTTTCCCATGCAGATGAGGCCACTGAAAATATGGCCGGGTGAACCTTAGTCCACAAAGTGACATGTTTGCTTTTCTCCACTTTAAAGAAGTCTTGCATGGCAGTTACCCAATGAATTCCCTATTTCAAGAGAGAATGAGTATTTTCCTATTTAGAACAAATAGAATTTTTATTTGATTCTTAAATTTTAAATATAGTACAGTATTATTGCCTAGAATAGGAAATACCTGTTAAATTCTGTTTTATTCATTTCAAAGTCTTGAAATATATGTACCTATGTAACATAATTTGTACAGCAAAACTACTATCTTGTTACATCCTTATTATGTCCCAGGACTCTTGGCTAAGCCTTCACATACATGATCTCCTTTAATACTTCTGTCATATCTTCATTTTATCATGCAAGAAACTATGAAGCAGTAAGAAATTGAGGAGCTCTCTTGAATTCACATAGCAGGAATTTTACTTTGGATCTTTCTGATTTCCAAACTCGTGCTCTTTTTACCTTCTTTATGCTTAAGAAATGTTCAAGGAAATACTCCATTTATTCAACATTTTTAGCCAAGGAAGTAAGTATACTTTTTAGGCAACATAGTTCATTGAATAACATGTTTTGTGTTTTAACGTTATAATTTTTTTCTTTTCTTTAAAATTTATAAGCTGCTTAACAGTGTTTTAAAACTTAAATTGTAACAATTCTTCTTAAATATCCGAGCCTCTAACTCTAGAAAATCTGATGATTCTCTTCTTAGAAAAATTGACATATATATGAAATTTTATGTGGCCTCATAGATTCTCTAGAAATTCACAGTAACTTTGGTTAAGAACTCCTGATTTCCCCCATCACACTGGGGTGAAACACTAAGGGTATGCAACAGAGCAGCAAGGGGAGCAAAGTGATGAAGTTTCTGGAGAATACCAGAAATAGACCTTGGAGACAGAATGTGGCACCCCATCAGACTCGACTGGAAAACACTCGTAAGGGCCAACACTACAGACCTTGAACTATTTATAGGCGTTTCCATTTTTGTCAGTGACTTTGTTGTTAATTTTTGATTTGGGGATTTTTGTTGTTGATGTTATTGTTTTGTTGCTTTTGACTTCCTTTGTTGTTTTGTTTGCCTTTGCCTGTTTTTTTTGCGCTTATTAATGTCTCTGCATGTCTGTCTAGATAAGATAGGTGGGATAAACAATTTGGAGATGAAAAGAACGGGGCTGCTGGTTCGAGGTGGGAGAAAGAAAGTCGGGGGGTGGGGGTGGGAGAGAGAAACCAGGGACACAGGAACAACAAGTGAGCTAAAATCAATGGAGAGAAGGGCATAGCATCAGCAAGGAATTACTGAAACCCAAACGAAGGCCGAACATGATGGTAGGACAAGAGGAAAGTAAAAGGAAATAGAGGAAAGAACCAAGAGGCAAAGGACATTTATAGAGGTCTAAATACAGGCATGTACATATGTAAATATATTTATATATAATGAGAGGGAAATAGAGCTCTGTACTTATATGTTAAGAATTAAGGTTGCAGATGGACATTGAGCCTCAACTCAAGTACTCCCTCAACTCAAGAACACTTTGTTCTAATAATCCGGCATTCTGTGATGCTCACCTTTCTGACATGATCACTGAAGACAAAATGGGTGCATAAGCAAATGTGGTGAAGAAAGCTGATGGTGCCAGCTATCAAAAGATATAGCGTCTGGGGTCTTAAAAGCTTGAAGATAAGCAAGTGGCCATCTAGCTGAGAAGCAACAAAGCCCACAAGGAAGAAGCACACCAGCCTGTGTGATCATGAGGTGTCCATGGGATCAAGTTTCAGGCATCTAAGACCCAGTACAAAATCATACCCAATGTGAATGGTGGGGGTGGGGGCATGGAGTGGAGACCCAAAGCCCATCTTTAGACAGTTGGACATCTCCTCACAGAAGGGTCACAAGGGAGAGCATGAGCCCATCAGGGTGCAGTACAGCACCGATGAAACACACACTTTCCTCTAGTTATTTAATGCTTCCTCCCCCCACTAACATGACTTCAATTCTACTTTACAAATTGGATTAGACCAGAACATACACACTGCTACAGATAAGAGCCTGAAATACAGGGAATCCAGGATAGATAAACCCTTCAGGGCCAACAATGAGAATAGAGATACCAGGAGGATTAGGGAGAGGTTGGGGAGGAAGGGGAAATCGATCACAAGGATCAACATATAACCCCCTCCCAGGATGACAAACAACGGAAAAGTGAGTGAAGGGCGACAGGACGATGTAAGATATGAAAATAATAATCTATAACTTATCAAAGGTTCATGAGGGAGGGAAGGAATTGAGGGAGGGGAAAAAAGTGAGCTGATATCAAGGGCTCAAGTAGAAAGAAAATGCTCTGAAAATGATGATGATGGCAGCATATGCGCAAATGTGCTTGACACAATGGATGAATGTATGGATTATGATAAGAGATGTAAGAGCCCCCAATAAAAATATTTAATAAAAATAAATAAAAAATCTTGATTTAAAACGAGCTGTTTGGCAGCTATAGTTTATTAATTAGCTGCCTAATAAAGTATATATTTAAATATGATTTTAGACTATGCATCTTTATGTGTTTGAAGTAGTTTACCATCCTAGAATACAGATCATTTTAAGAATTATTAATCTTGCCCGTTCCACTAAATTATTTGAAATTTATGCCTGTGCTATTCTACCTAAAATCCCCCCCAACAGTTTTATTGGCATATAATTATCATTCAATTTAATAGTTCAGTCACATCAAGCAGTTATGTAATCATCACCACAATCAGATTTAGAACATTTTCTTCATTCTTATATTCATTAATTCCCCATTTCCCCTCAACCTCCCCTGCCATACCCCCAAAGAACCATTAATCCAGTTACTGACTTTATAGATTTACCTATACTGGATTTCATATATATATATATATGTACACACATATACATATATATATATTTAAAGAGTAAACAAAAACACAAAAGAATAACAAAGTAAAACAACTTCAATAGAAAATAAAATATATTAAAAACTAGAACAAATTTAAATGGCTCATAGAGAGATCAAATGATAAGACAGTACATTTTAACCTCAGTGTGTCTGTCATAGTCAAATTTACAATGCTCTGGTACATGGCTATTCATATCCCTCAACTATGATCAGAGGAGATTCACCAGAATCATGTGTAAACCCTACAAGCAGATTTTGGGCTTCACTGTCATCTATAGCCTTCTGCAAGCCAGGTGTTCATAATTTAAGCCCTGTTACCAAACCCTCCTTTAAATTTGAATTACATTGTATACAATCCTTAGATCACACAAGTTGGTACGCTTCTTCATGTGGACTTAGTTGAGGCCTCACTTAGATGGCTGCTTGTTCACAAACAAGCCTTTAAAACTCCAGACGCTATTCTTTCTGATAGCAGGGCACCTCCAGTTTTTAGACCACACTTTGCTGAAGCATTAATATCTTCAGTGATCTTTTCATGAAGGGAACATAGAGTATATTCTACTTAAAGTTTTACTATTTTTTCCCCATAAGTAAAATGATTGGCATAGTATCTGCAACAATGGGCTCAAATATGCAGTTGTGAGAATGATGCAGGACCAGGTAGTGTTTCTTTCTGTTGTACTCAGGGTCACTGAGTCAGAACCGATGGCACCTAACAACAACAAAGCACCCCAAAACTCTGAATTTTTTCTGCATACTATTGAATCACTTCTCTGCTGATGTTGGTCATGAGGTCGATGATTTTCCTTCTTTTCTTCCTCTGCAGATTCACTGTGTAGCTGTTCTTTAACGGTTCCTACTTGTGGCAGAACTGAAAACATAACAACTAAAGTCAATGTCCCTGCTCTAAAAGGAACCTAACATTTCTATTTGATGAACCTGGGCTTCCTTCATTTGTGACTCTCCTGCTCTTAGAGCTTTGCTGTAACCTGCACGCACTGGTAGAATGAAAAAAGCACAGGGCCCGCACACACACCTACTCTCCCTAACATATCAGTTTAGAAATGACACAGTACTGTATTCCCTTTTCCATTCTCTTGGCAAGAGTTAAGTGGTTTGGAAACATTGGCTTCTCCTCATGGCCAGCTGTATTGCTTTTACTTTGGGGAAAGAAGGGCACTCTGGTGGACAGATAGGAGTTTCTTCCACACTTTCCAAGTGCGAAATCAACGTACATGCACACATCCTCTAGGCTCACAAGAAAGGTAACTGCTGTTTTCCATGTGCTGGGAGGCCTTTTCGTTAGTCCCAGTTTCTAGGGTGTGGTGCTAGAAAGACAGGCATGGTAACTAGAGCTTAAATGGCAGATCAGTAGACTGTTATTCTAAGTGTAAGATACCTTGCTTCAGCCCACATCAACCTTAACAAATGTGGACTTTGGAATCATACAGAGTTTAATTGATAATCTTGACTTTGCTCATTTTAATTGGTTCACCTTGTTAACATTATTTAACCTTCCTGAGGCTTTGTTCTTTTCTGTAAAACAGGAAAGCATATAATACCTTTTCTCTGGGTTTTTGTGAGGATCGAGGTAAACTAGTTAGCCCTGATTCGGGTGCAGAGAAAATGCCTAATAAATGATAACTATTATTGTTATCAATAAGAGGAAGAATGATTATTGTCATCCTCATCTGAATCAATGATGTTGTGTTAATTGATCACAGTGAGCTCTGATTTCCAAGGCCCTCCTACTGAAACACTCAAGTCTCCTTTCTTTCAATCTCGGTGGGTTATTTTTTAATCTCTGTAATAGTAGTGGGCATTTCCCAAATATTACTGATATTTCAAAGCATGCATTTATTTCTCACTCTAGATTCTTCTTTGTTGCTTAATGGATTTTGTAAATAAGAAATGCATAAAACGTCAAATTTTTTTTTTTTTTGGCACAAGTCAAACTTAATTCTCTCATTCCTGTTTGTATTTTTGTATTTGTCTTTCAGGCTCAAAATTTAGACATTCAAACAAAAGGAGGAAAGGTGATTTGCCTGGGAACAATTTATGGAAATATTGATATTCATGCATCTGACAAAAGTGTGAGATTCAAGCTTCCCTTTTTTAGTAATTATAATTTTGCTTCATGTTGCCTTAATACAATTTATTAAAATGTGTGGTGTTAATGTTCCCTTTTTAAGGCATTTACTTTCGCAAATGAATTCAAATTTGAATTAGAAGCAGTTAAATATTGTACAATCTAAATTATAGTTTGTAGTTGAATACTTTTTAATGCTTTGCCAGTGATTTAGTCCTGCATGAACTCCGTAGGATCTAGTAATTACCATTTAATTCTAGTTCTGAAGAGATTTTTATTTTATGATCATGAATTAAAGCAGTGCATGAATTACATGTGATTACATTAAAACCTGGATCAAGTTTTTCAACATACTAGGTTTATTTGAGTATTTTTCCACGAACTGTTTACTCTCTCTTCAGGCAGATTGAAGTATGTTTCAAAGTCCACTCTCTTCAGTATTTTCCACAAGGTGGCACCATTTGATACTGTTACTGCTATTCAAAAGCTTTCATTAACCCAGGGATTTGGATTGCTGAAAGAAGATAGTTTGAAAAAAAAAAAAGAAGATAGTTTGTATTTTTAAAAAACTTTTTTTGTTGTTGCTCTCTGTGATTTATGGTGGTATTAAGAGTAAAAGTAGGGATCCAAAGAGAAACAAAGATGAAACCAGAATGCCTTTTATGACCTAGGCTCAAAAGACACACACTGTTGCCCCTGCCATAGACAGTGTTAGGCATGAGTTAGTTACTCAGTCCAGTCCACACTCGGGGAAGGGTTTGCCCCTGGAGGGGACACGCATGAAAGAAAAAAAATACACAGTGTGGAAATGGGATAGAATAAAATAGTAAATCCAAAAGAAGGCCAGAAAAGAGAGAAAATGAATGTAGAACAAGAGAGACAAATAAAAAACAATAAGACTGTAATATTAAGCCTGGAATCCTGGTGTCATAGGAGGTTACATGCTGGGCTGCTAACCCCTGGTTAGCAGTTTGAACCTACCAACTGCTCCGTAGGAGAAAGATGAGACGGTATGCTCCCATAAAGATGTACGGTCTCAAGCTCCAAAGAGCAGTTAGACTCAGTCTTTGTTGCTGTGAATTAGAATGGACTCAGTAGCAGTGAGTTAGGCTTTCTTATTTTTGAATGTTAAGCCCAAATATGTTAGTAATTATGTTAAATGTAAAATTCTGAATGTTCCATTTGTAAGACAAACTTTATCACACTAGATTAAAATCAAGTATGACCAAATAAATTTATGTGTTGCTTATATAAGGTATACCTAAAATTAAAATGCTACAGTAGCATTGAAAATAAAGGGATAGAAAACTCTAACAATATTTTAGATAAAGAATGTTATTTCATAATGATAAAAGCATAATTCATCAAGGAATGTAACAATTCTAAATTAGAATGCATCTAGTAATATAGCCTAAAATATGTATGAAAAGTTGACAGAAATTAAAAGAAGACAAATCCATAATCAGCATGAAAGATTCCTGCACCCATCTCTCACTAACTGATGCATCAGCCAGACAACCCCTTCCTCCCCAAATTCAGATGATCTAAACAGCATGTTAGACAAGTTTAACTTAATTGACATACATTTAAGATACTGATCCCAAGTATAACATTAGGTACATTTTAAGAATAGACCAGATCCTTGGCTATAATGCAAGTATCAACTCATTTCAAAGAACTAATAGCGTATAGAGAATATTCTTAGGTCATGGTGGAATTAAGCTAGAAATAAATAACAAATTATTTGTTTGGAATTAAGCTGTGTACTTGTAAATAATGCATTATTTAAAACCTGATGAAAATACTATGAAATAGGAAAATTAGCATCTCTCCCTCAACATAGTCAAAATTCCAAAGAAAGTATTGACTGGAAAAGCAATATATTAAAATAAGAAAACACTTGCTACTTTCTAAGAAATAGAAGTTTTCCCCTAGATATGTAAGACGTATATTAAACTACAGGTGGATAGACACTTAAAAAATTAGTACAGTTCATGACATCAACAGTAAAAGAAAATAACGATAGAATTAGATGACACATGCTAACTGAGCTCTGTGACCAGCATCATATTCAGATGAAATGTTGGCAGAGCAGGTCTGAGATGAGGAAACGGGGTATCATGACCTCTGTTCATCAAATGAGGGGCATAAAACAGGTAGTTAGACAAGGAAGAAAAACCCCGGGGAAAATATCACAGAGACTTGAAGGGAAGAAATGAAACTATAAATTATTTGTAAACAATATAATTATGTAGATAGAAAGATTTTTTTTAAGATACAGATATATTGTTAAAATGAATGAATGAAGTGAGGTTGTTGGATTTAAGATCAAATTTTTAAAATAAAATGAAGTTTAGAAAGATACTTTATTACAAAAGCTTTTTAAAAAATATCTAAGAAGACTATTTCTAACAAAAGATGAAGAACACAACCTAGAAAGTACAAATAGTATTAAAAGAAGTTACAGAATAAATAAATGTTAGGGATATATTGAATCTATTCCATGTCCCACCGGAAACACACTGTTGCTGGTGATTTTGGGATTAGAGCTCAGATATCAGGGTCATTAAATTGATTTCATACCTGGTAGTGACTTTGCAAGTGGTTGCTGGCTAATTCAGTAGTTACCATTTCCCTTCTTACTGGCCGCTAAACTGAACTGATACAACTCTTTCTCTTACTAGACTGTGACCATAGATAAACTTCAGGGAAGTTCTGTTAATATATCTACTGAAGACGGTTTACTGAAAGCCAAGTATCTTTATACAGAGTCGTCATTTCTGTCATCTGCTGCTGGGGACATCACATTAGGAAGTGTGCATGGTAAGATGGCAAAGGCCTACTAGATCTCACGCGGTCCACAAAGCTTACATCTTAAGAGAGAACTCTTTCTCTGTAGCTGAAGCAGGATCTGCTATCCGGAAGCTAGTCTACCAAATAATTAATTGGCTAGAAGTTAAAGGCTATGCTGCTATATACAAAGCTAATACTAATTTTGATTTTCAATGTCTTTCCTTATAAAAGGAAACTATGAAATAGGTGCAGGAGATAATTACAAAGAAAAGCAGTGTAATAACTAAATAAGGGTTCTGAGTGGTTGCTCGTACATTATCATAGTCAATCAAAGGATTAAGTAAATTAATGAGACATCTTGGTAGAATCTAATTATAGCAACTCAATGATAGTAATTTTAGTTAAAATGCTTTATAGGTGTTTGTATTAAAAAACTTAAATGTCCTCTTGAGACATGTTTTTGTAGGAAGTAACGTTACTTAGTTAACTTTTAGGTTATTGCAAGAGTGAGCATAATGGTGAAGTAACATGGTAAGGGGCAAGCTGGTATTCAATGACACTCTGATTTTCAAATGTCCACATAGCAGATTATTCAAATCCAGGTAGATGCTCTGGAATATGTCTTGATAGAATTAAGAATCACTTATCCTGCTCCCCCCCCAAAAAAAAAACAACACAACAATAACAGTACATAAACATCTGCTAAATGGCTTCTGGGCTGTTTTCCAGGAAGTATAGGCTTGAGCATGTCCCACCTAGAGTGCATTCATTTTCCTTCCATTGTAAAACCCCCGGATTTTAGTAGCTAGTATGAATTATTAGGTGGTATTAGAAAGCAATTTAGTGCTAACCGTGCAACAAATTGGCAAGTCTTTTATTTTAAAACTTCAAAAAAGGAAACTTAAATATTTGAAATAATTCTTTAGTCTGTTCTTAATGGTTAAACCCCATCAATACTTTCAAGGCTAAGGGGTTTTTTACTTTGAAATATCTTGAGTGCAAATGGAAGTATATTCAAATAAAGTGGATAGTCTTGGGGTATTGGCTTGCTTATTTTCTGCTTGGTTGTACATTGAATAGTTTTGTTAATTTTCAGCACTTCATATTTTCACAGTAATTTTTGTAAACAAGAAAGCATTTCTAACTGTAAAGAGAACTGCATTTAATATAGAGTAGTGTTTAGTGGAAAAACAAGTCCTTATCAGGCCAGATGTTGGTTAAAACCCACAGGAAAAACAGTAGAGTTCTCTGGAGTACTTTGTATCATGTTTAAACTGAATTTGTTATTGTTTAATATCTTTGCTTTATTTTTATAACTTAGACAAGAAGTGAGTTTGGTACAATTGTTTGCTATTAATTGCTTAGTTCAGGGGTCCTCAAACTACGGCCCCGTGGGCCACATGCAGCCCGTTGAGGACATTTATCCGGCCCGCTGTTGCCTGTCCTACTTAGCAGCTGACTCATCCAGTGTGCATAGGAATCTGTTCATAGTTGTTGTTGTTGTTGTTTTTTTCATAGTTGTTTTTTAAACTATAGTCCAGCCCTCCAACAGTCTGAGGGACAGTGAACTGGCTCCCTGTTTAAAAAGTTTGAGGACCCCTGGCTTAGATGGTAGTGAAACCAGTGAACTTTTATGAGGACGTTCTCAAAATATTCTAACCCTGCAGTTGCCTGCAACTTGGTTCTGACTCATAGTGACTCCATTTGTATCAACGTACATCTTGCTTCATAGTAGAACCTGCTTCAGTAGCTGGTTTTTCAGACAGATCACCAAGTCTGTCTTCTGAGATGGCTCTGGATAGACTCAACACTCTATCCTTTCTGTTATCAGCCTAGCACTGAACTGTGTACGGCACAAGGGTCACGCAAAATACTCTATGTCTCTTGATTATTTAAAATAGCTGCAGTGAAAACAAATTATTTAGGATAAAAAACTGTCATTTCCCTTTTGTAAAGACCTTTTATATTTACTGACCTTTAATATGAAGTCAGATTCTTTCCCCGGAGGGCTTGAATCTGGTTTAGATCTTGGTTCTCTTCTGGACTGTTGTCTTAGGTCGACTTTACCTGAACTCATACTCTGAGTTAGAAATGAGAGCACAGGAAGATTACCAAGGAGAGCTCTCGGGATCACGTTGTGTAAAGGAAAGAAGTCCCATTGGGCCGTGGGAGAAGTTGGTCTGTGATGCAGTCTCACCTACCCCAAAATGGAGCTCCTCAGAGTTCTCCCAAGTTGGGGTGAAGTGGACTAGACCTTTATATCCCAAATCATTAGATTCAAGCTGCTCCAGAAAGGGGTGCACCCTTGGGCCAGGTAGCTTTCTTCAGCCAGGCAATTTCCAAAGAAGGCTGACAGCTGAGGGCTGCCTGCCAACAGTACCCCCAACAGATAGGAGAATAAACTCTGCAGCCCTGAGTGGGGATCTGAATGATGCATCATAACCTCTACTGCAGTTATATGTATTTATTCATTCCACGTATTTATTGAGTACCTACTAACAACTGGATTTCCATGTTCAAAAGGTGCAAAGTTGGGTAGGAGATGCCACCTATTCTTAAAGAATTCATAGTCTAGTGGAAAAATTGAATGTCCTTTCTTATTTTCCCAGTCCCCACTACCTCCCTCAGGGATCTCTATTGCTGCATACCACCCTAACCCAACCCCTTATCTGTCTTACTGAATGTATTGTTGTTGTTATTGTTCAGCTTCTTTTGTCACATTAATACAGCAGTGAGAAGGAGTGAGGGAAGGGGGTGTTTGAACTAGTAACTACTGTAGAAAAGCACCCTTGTTGCTGGACAATGCTCTCCCTCCTTCTGGATCCTGACCCTCACTCTGCTTTGGTCTTTCAGTAGCAAAGAGATGCTGCTGTTGGTTTTGAACTGCCGACCACGCAGATTGCAGGCCAGCCTGTACCCACTACACCACTAGGCCTCCCCCTATAAATCTATAGCCAAGTAAATTTTTTTTCTTTCAAAAAATAGAATGCTATATAGTACAAATTAAGTAGTATATTGGGCTAGATCTGGATTAAGAAATTGGTTATTCATGAGAAATATGAGGGCACTGAAAAAAGTTCAAGGAAAATTTGAATTCAAAAGATAATGGAGCCCCCCTTGAACTATTTCATTGCTCCCTCCTATGAACCTCCTGAGCAGAGTTGTGTAGTGGTTGCACAATGGGCTGCATTCCTCAAGGTCAGTTGTTCAAAACCAACGGCCACTCCTCTGGAGAAAGGCAGGGCTTTCTACTCCAGTAAACAGTTATAGTATCAGAAACCTACAAGGGGCAGTTCTACCTTGTCCTGTAGGGCCGCAGTGAGTCAACAATGGCAGTGTTGACGCAGTCCCAGAGTGTTTATGCTCAGCCCCTGCCCTGGTGACCTTTTGTAAGCACAATGTTCTCCATGCCTTCCTATTGTCCTGCTTTTCCAGGCTTGGGGGCTGTTGGTCAAGGCAGCCAACCTTGGTTGGTCAACCCATAGCCGTAGTTCCAATGAGAATTAAAAATTATCTCCCACCTCCCCACCTGTAAACCTAATACAAACCATAAAAAAAGGTGTTTTTGAATGTGGTAGGAAAGCAGAATTGATCTTTTCTCTAGAATGTTTGAAGTGACCCATGCATGTGGCCTGTACAGCTGGTAGTTTTGATGCCTACTTTCCTCCTGAGGTTGATGTTCTCATATCATCTGTTACAAACGAAGGACTGCAACAGAAAACTGAACAGTTGGAGAATATGGCATCACAGTGGTCAATCTGGAAAATTAAGAGTTTGATGGGAATTATAAAACAAAGGACTTCCCTGCCAAAGCTCGGGGCGTCTACATGGAAGCTCATCTTGTTTGACCAGCGCTCCTCAACCTGCGGGTCATGTCCCCTTTGTAGGTCGAACGACCCTGTTGCAGGGGTTGCCTGATTCATAACAGTGGCAAAATTACAGTTAATTGAAGTAGCAATGAAAATAACTTTATGGTTGGGGGTCACCACAACATGAGGAACTGTATTAGAGGGTCATGGTGGCATTAGGAAGGTTGAGAACCACTGGTTTAAACAATCCAGACCATGATCGGCTTCATAACTTGATTGCTGAACACTAATTTTTGGACATGGTCTGCAACCTCAAACATCAGACTGTTAGCTAGAACTTTGTGGAATCCTGAGAGCCACCCCAGTGGCTTAGATGGACGATTCAAGCATGGTGAAGCAGAGCATGTTTGTGGCGAGCTCCCTGCACGTTTGCACACCCAGCAAATTCTGGCCACCTATGACAGGTTTGGTTGGTTGATGTATGGACAAGAAGATGTGCCCAGGATGCCCTAGAGTATGTTGTGTTTGAAAACCAAAACAGAAAACAAACCACTGCCATCAAGTCAATACTGACTCATAGGGACCTCCTCCCCGCCCTGCCCCCCTCCCCCCAGCCCACCGTGGGTTTCTGAGACTATAACTGTTTATTGGTATAGAAAACCCAGTCTTTTGACCACAGAGTGGTGGGTGGTTTTTAACTTCCGACCATGCGATTGCAGCTCAACAGAATCACTGTACCACCAGGGCTCCTGATTAATCCTTATGGGGGCTGAAGAATGCATGACAAGATTGTGCTGAGGGGGCACCCCCTAAGTAGCCATCCTTAAGAAGGTGAGGATCCCTGGATAGGAAGAACCACAAAGGGAGGTCCATAAACCTTAGCCGACCTGATTGCAAAAAACGATTCCTGGGTTGGAGCACGGCTGGAAGCTGTGAAATTTAGGAGCTGTGATGTCACCTGTCTCTGCCATGCAATAGAAAGAGCTACCTTTGTTCTCTCTTGCCCTGCTTGGATTTTTCCAGCAATGCTGTTCTCAACAACCAAGAGTGATGGCTGGGCCCAGGTGGGCAAGGTATTCACAGCCTCAGGCCTTCAGCTCCTCCTCCACTATCTTGATATCTAGCTTCCAAGTTAAGATGAAAAATGGTTTGTTTCAGAGAATATGTGAACATCGGTGAACACCAGTGACTGCAGGGAAGGAAGTGGGAGGGCTCTTTTCT